ACGTACAAGATGGGGTCTGTGGGTTTGTTCTTAAGTTGAATCTGTGCTGCTCGGCCCCCAGCTTCCCCGATCCAGCCGCTGCTGAAACTGACCAGCGGCTGATTCCAGGAAGCCCGGGGCAGAGCAACTCTGCCTCGGGCTTCCTGTAGTCAGCCGCAGGTCAGTTTCAGCCGCTGCTGAATCTGGATGCCAGTTCCGACTTACATATAGATTCAACTTAAGAACAAACCTACAGTCCCTATCTTGTACGTAACCCGGGGACTGCCTGTATACCAGGGACACTATGTACTGTCCTTAACAAAAAAAACAAAAACAAAACAAAACAAAACAAAAAAAATTCCCAATCACATAAGAGTTGTAAACAACTAGTCGACTATCTGATAAGCAAAAGCTTATTGGATAGTTGACTAGCCCCTCAACTAGTTGCTTCCCCCCTCCCTTGCTGCCTCTATGAGAAACAGCAAGGAGGAGGGCGGGGGAGGGAGAGCAGGAGCCGGTGCTTTGGGGAGCCAGCTTAAAAGACTGTTTCCCCCTGCACCATCTCCGTGAGGGGTGGAGAGTAGTGGAGACCAGGCGCAAGCTGAGAATCAGCTGATTCCCAGCTTGTGCCCAATCCCAGACGCTGCACCTCTGCTTTTTAAATGTATTAAGAGCAGGCAGGCTCTTAAAACATTTAAAAGGCTGGTGCGCAGTGGGGGAGATCGACGTGAGCCAGGAATCAGCTGTCCCGGCTCACACCAGGTCACCCCTGCTGTACTTCAGCCTTTTAAATGTATTAAGAGCCTACACACTCTTAATAAATGTAAAAGGCAGAGCCACAGCAGGGTTAGCTCCCGAGGCTAGGAGTTAACCCCACTGCAGCTTCCCCGCTTATCGAACAGTCGATTAGTTGATTAAACTAAATTTAACATCCCTATACCACATATACTCTAGAAAATATTGTCCTCCCAGCCCCTATGAGAAGGTAGAGTAAAACTCCATTGGTCCAGCATCCAATGCTCTGGCACTCCTGATGGTCCGGCACCATCGGGAATCTGGAAGTGCTCCGGGCAGCTGGACAATTGGAGCTGCTCTGCGCCCGACTTCCCTGATTCAGCTGCTGCTGAAACTGACCAGCAGCTGAATGGGGAAGAGCAGCTGGGTTGCTGCCAGGTTGGTCTCGCAGTGCTGAGGGGCGGGGCTACGGGACGAACCCGGCAGCATCCCAGCTGCTCTGGCCCATCTGTTCCTGATTCAGCCGAGCTGTCCTGGATTCAGCCGCTGCCGAAATTGACTAGCGGCTGACTCCAGGAAGCCCGAGACAGAGCTGCTCTGCCCCAGCTTCCCGGAGTCAGCCACTGGTCAGTTTCAGCAGCAGCTGACTTGGAGAAGTCTGGGGCAGAGCAGCTGGGGTGCTGCCTGGTGGTGGCAGTGCCGGGGGGGGCGGGTGCTATGGGACCAACTCGGCAGCACCCCAGCTGCTCTGCCCCAGGCATCCCCCATTCAGCTGCTGCCGAAAACACGTTGATCTCGCAGTGCCAGACTATCAGAAGGGGGAGCTATGAGGGGTCTGGGGTGGCATCCCCCCCCTGCCCCAGACCCCTCATAGCTCCCCCTTCTGATAGTCTGGCACATCTGATAATCCAGCACCCCCGGGTCCTAAAGGTGCCGGGTTATCGGAAGTTTATTGTAGATTCAAACTGATTGGGCCATTATTTTGTATCATTAACAACTTCCACAATTCTAGGATTTTATCACTTTTTGTATTTCTGACTGGTTTGTCAAATGTGTCAAAGGATTACAATTAACCTCCCCCCCCAACTTAATAACCAAAAGAGAATTAAGACAGTATAATGGACCAAAAGCACCACACATTTAATTCTGTATTCAAATTTCTATTATCAGATGTATTATCTACAGTTTTTTAAGTTTATGAATAGTCTTACATTGGCCCATCATCACTCGTGGCATCTGATTTCCTTCAAAATTAGTGTACACATGTTAACATACACATTTCTGTCCCCACTCTGTCACACCATCATCAGCCAGCAAGGATTGACTTTTTGTTACCACAGATGCACATCTCAAACATAAAAAAGGCCTTTTTGTGTATACCTTAAAACTAGTTACCTTCTGCAAGAGCTGTGAAATTTGATCCTCTAGTTTTTTTATCCTTATTTCACTGTGTAACTCATTATCTACTTTAGCCTTTTCTGGTTCTGAAGAGGATATTGCTTCTGAAGAATCAAAGGTGCTTTGTGTTGCACGTTGTCGAAACTGAGTTAACACCTTATCAATATGAGGAGTGATCACTCGCAAGTTAACACAACTCTTAAAAAAATACATATAAAAAGATTCAAAAATTATATCCAACAACAATAATTAAATTTGTACACTGTTTTTACACTTGAAAATAACAGTGAGTACCTGTTCTTCATGGCAGGGGGAACTGGATGAAGCCAAACAATCCAAGAGGCCTTCCAAACACTGCAAATCTGATGAATTCTCTTCTATCAAGTTTATTGGTTCACCAAATACATTCCTTCCATCTAGGACTGTAAGCTGAGGCAAAGTCTGAAGAATAATCTCTCTGTAACCTTTAGGGATGAATTATTTATAAACTTATTTCAATTAAACGTAAAAGATGTCTGCCAGATTCTAGGCATGCTACCATCTTAGAAGTAAAATATATAATACTAAGTTAGACGACCCAGCCAGGAAACATTACAGAACAAAATCCTCCTGGAGGATGATGGTTGAAGCCTTAACTAGACTGGGCTTTTGTGTACTGTTGTAGCTACAGTGAGGTACCTGCACTGAACAAATCCCAGTGTGTGCATGCTACACTAATGTTTGCATGAGAATTGAAAAAAAAAAAAAAATTACCTACCTTGTACGTACTGGATATGTTACAAAAAAAAGATGTATTTGATAAACCAATTGATTTATTTAAAAAATGAAGTATTATCTGTTGTTAAGGAACTGAAGTGATGGTGACTAGAAACAATCTCTTAAGATTTCAGATCCAGAGAATCTCATCCTCTCATATGAAGTTTTTATTCGTATATTGGAAGAGGAAAACAAGTTTTCCTGCTTTTTTTCCCCAACTCCCAATACATTTCTTAACTTTCATTGACTTGAACTACAGTAAAACTCCAATTGTCTGGCATCCAGTTGTCCGGCACTCTGACGAGTCCAGCATCAACTGGAACCCAGAAGTGCTCCGGTCAGCTACTCCACGGCCGGGCCACTGTGAACCGCATACGTGTTCGCGGCCTTGCGCCCTTCCGTCATGGTCTCCAGCGCACACCGCGTCCAGCCTGCACTTGCTAGCAGCTGGCCACTGAGCACAGGCAGCTGCCTTGGGACCCGGACATAAGGTTGGGGGAGAAGAGGGACTGGGTTACTGCAGGGACAGGAAGTGTTTGGCTCTGGAAAAGAGGAGGGGAGAGGGATCGGGTTGGGAGTATTCTCCCCTATAGTACCTCCTGGTTCTCTGGCATATCCGATAATCCGGCACGACCTAGGTCTCAAAAGGTGCCGGATTATAGGAAGTCTACTGTATTTAAACAAAAATGAAGAAAATAATTGTTGTGTGGCAGATGCAAAGATAGTATACCTGGTTGCAGTATTAAGTGTATGACTACAGTATTCTGTGAACCACTGTGGGCTAGGAATTTCATTTCACTCTAAAGGGAAATGTTAACATAGCTCTTCCAGGAACTAAAAACAGTGTGGGATGATTACTGCAGTCCCTGGGATTGTACATAGCTCCAGAGAATTGATCACTCCTGGGGTGGTTGATGTATACTAGTCAAACAGGTACCAGAGGAACAAGAAAAAAGTTATTTTGGGAAAAAAAGGTTTCATTTAATCTGACAGAGGCCTTCTTTTTGTATTCAACAAACAGACTGGACTGATGGTCTCAGGGTGACCTAGCCCTACTGAAGAGTGGAAAGAATTAAACCTGTCATGTTCCCCATAAGACTTATGAGTGACTTATGGTATGTTTAGGTTTTGGCTCAGATCATTTGTCTACATCTCGTTTTGTTAATTTTCTTTGGATTCTTTTGTCCTTTAATAATGCACTCTACTCTGAAAGAGCAGTTACAAGTAATCAAATGACTGTCATAGCCTTGGGAGATAAACTAAAGAAAAGGGGCTGGATGTTTGTCAACCCTGTCTGGAAAAAAAACAGTTTTGGGAAAGTGGACTGCAACCTCAAACCCCTGCTCAGAAAGGAGCTGGACATAAGTGACACAAAGAGTAACTTTAGGATTATTCCTTGAGCAGACCACAGAAGGAGGAATATTTGTTAAAGCTCTAATATTAAGTATGTATTTAAAATTATTTTAACATACTTTGAAATTAAAACAAGCTATTTGTTTTTAAAAGCAAAAACTAATTTAAATCCATTTTTTTGCCTTTTTTGTTTGTTTGTATTTAAATAACTTATTTTTATAATGGAACCTGAGCACAGGGCTCAAGCTTTCCAAACACTAACATTCCTATTCTGCACAGAGTTAAAGCGAATAGTCGACTAGCTTAGGCTTATTGGGTAGTTGAATGATCTACTTTCATTCTGCCCCTCCTTGCTGCCTCTGTACTGGGGGGGTGGGGGGGGGGCAGGCTGCCCGGCTCATACTGTCTTTTAAATTGCAGAGCTACAGTGGGGTTTGGGTCCTGGTGTGAGTTGGGACTGAGTCGGTTGCCTTCCCATATCAACTACTCAATAAAATTCTACTGACTACTCAATTAGTAAATTAACCTAATTTTCACATCCCCAGTGCAGAAACCAAACATGGATCACAGTTTAGACTAAAGTTTTTGGACAATATGAACCTGCAGTTCCAAAAGGATACTACAGAAACTGTTTCTTCACCATTAACTACTGACAACTGCTGTGAACACCTTCATGCTAAAGATAATTTAAATATGACTCCAATAAAATGTTCAATATAATATTTATCTAAGACAGTCTTTCTATACTAAGATTTTCAGTTTAAACATGTCATTTTATTATACTACGTATTAAGTTTAATTATTTCTTTTAAGTAATAATTTCAGTTAAGGCTCATCATGTTCTGGACTAGCACCACTAAATATACTGGGACAAACTTAGCTCTTGGTGGATCATAGCTCATTCCTTATGAGATGCATGCACAACTGATAACTCAAGTATTTTTTCTCTCATCCCCAGCATGCAGAACATACAGTATTTTAGGTATGCCATGATACTTCTTTAAGCATGCTGAGAGTACCCCTGGTACAATTTAAGGAGCAGAATTTTTTTTTCCAGTTCTCAAATTGTCTGTATTAAAATGTGAACACTGTTTCATAAAACTTCTCTCTGTCCATTTGCAACTGACTAAAATCCCTGCCCCAGCAATTAGTATGTTAAAATGTCTTAATCCTATTTAGTAGCAGGAAACAAAGAGGCAACATCAGATGGCCCGCCAGTTCTCAGCTGACTTTTCACAACTGCTGCTCTTCTTTGACAAAGAAACAGTTTGTTTTTGATCAAGCCTTAATATTTAAATAAAGCAATAAATAATAATAGAAAAAATACTTTCAACATGCATGGTACACTGTACAGGAAGAAAGGAAGAAAACTTCAAGATTCTGAGAGCATGAATCTGGTAGTAGAGAGGTCACTACAGTATGACAAAATTTAGGTTTCTGATGGCTGGCCATTTATAAATCAAGCTACAGATTGGACCTCACTGGTCCAGCACCCACAGGTCCTAAGTGGCCCCAAACAAGGGGATTTGCCAGACATGGGGTGGCCCCTCCACTTGTAGCCATGTTGCCACCAGACTAGGGCTCTAGCCTGCCCACACGGCTCCCTCAGCCCTGCTGCTGCCAGGCTAAAGCACCATAGCCAGAGTTCCACACAGCTGGGGTAGAACTCTGCAGCCACCTGGCCCTGCAGCTGGGACTGCAGCTCCATGCCCAGTGCAGAAGGACGGGGTCGAAGCTCCCTGGCTGAGGCTTGAAGTCCATGGCCGCGGCCAGGTTAGAGTTCCCCAGTCACTGGGGCCAGGGAGCGCCACTGGGGCCAGAACTCCCCACCCTGCCCTCCCCTCCACTCCCCCACACACGGCTCCCAGCTGAGTTGCTGGTGCTCCTTACCACACTCCTGCCCCAGACCTCCCTCTTCCCTCTGCCACAGTGGGCTCTGTGGTCCATGAAGATCCATGATCCAGATGTTGCCAGACCAGGGAATCCCGCATAAGGGAGGTGCAACCCTTACTAGTTGCAGAAACTAGATCACGGGTTTATAAGACACAGAAGCCACAGATATCTGGACAGTAACTAGAGTTCAAAGTAATTATCTATTATATTATTCATACCTGTTATGTCACAGACTGCATTGCTCTTTCCATTTTTTTCTAAAGTAAGATTGGTCAAGTAATGCAGTCCCATCATACACTGGAGTAAATGGTTAATACTACTTATGCAGTTGCTGTGGAGATCAATGTGATTAATTTTATGACTGGCTCCACGAAGATCCAAAAATCCTGTAAAATTTAGAAAAATACACAGCAGTGACTTTTGTTACAGACAAGAACAAACATTTTCCAGATTGGTAAATGATAGCAGAGCTATTTAAAATAAAAATAAATTAAAATATTTTACATCCTGAAATTATCCAATATTTGATCCACTTCCCTTCCACTGTTTATTCATTATAAGACAATACTGCTTCAATGTTAACTGTAGAAATGTGAAATGTTAATTGTTAACCTTAATGGGTGATTGGCTCAAATTAACTGTTAACCTGTGCCGTGGACAGGGGGCTGCTCCAGCTCTGCAGGGGGCACGCTATGGCTGGGGGCTGCTGCTGCTCCCAGAGCAACCTCAAAGAGCTCAGGAGCACTGCAGGTAAAGGGGCTGCTCCCACCAGCAGGAAGGAACACTCCACCCCAGCGGAGCTCAAGCAGCCCCCCCTTTAATTAGTTAAACATAATGTTTAATTGGTTAACCGATTAAATGGGATTTTACATCCTTAGTTAAACTGTGAGAAATATGTCAAAAGCGATATTATCAGTTGATTTTTTTCCCCCAAAATCAACTTAAACATAAGAGAATATTCTCATGGCAGATTTATTGTAGTAAATGCAAAGTACACCACTAATATTGCAGTTTATACTCTATTCAAGTACAGTAAAAACTCCAATGGTCTGGTGTCCAGTTGTTTGACTCTCCCAATAGTCCAACAGCAACTGGAACCCAGAAGTGCTCCGGTCAGCCACTCTCACGGTCGGGCCACTGTGAGCCACATGCGGGCTCCTGGCCCACACCGTTCTGCTCATGGTCCCCAGTTCACAGAGCGTCCAGCCTGCACTTGCTAGCAGCCGGCCGCTGAGCGCAGGCAGCTGCCTTGGAACCCGTACATAAGGCTGGGGGGAGAAAAGCTGGGTTACAGCAAGGAAGGGAGGTGTTTGACTCTGGCAGGGGTTGGGAGTATGACCCCTTATAGTACCTTCCGGTACTCCAGCATATCCGATAATCCGGCACCACCTAGGTCCCAAAGGTGCCGGATTATCAGAAGTCTACTGTAGTTAGGGTCAGCTCTAAGAATAAAAGTTATATTTTTGGTGTACAGGCAGTCCCCGGGTTACATGGATCCGACTTACATCGGATCCCTACTTACAAACGGGGTGAGGCAACCCCGCACTAGCTGCTTCCCCCCAGCAAACCAGGGAGATGCGAAGCTAGCGCCCCCCCCAGCAGACTAGGGAGACGCGGAGTGGCTTTTCTCAGCAGACACCTCAGCTTGAGAATAAAGGACTGAGGGAAGTGAGGTGTGGGAGAATAAAACTGAGCTCTGGAGAAATGTTTGGCTAGAGTTTCCCCTACAATATGTACCAGTTCCGACTTACATACAAATTCAACTTAAGAACAAACCTACAGTCCCTATCTTGTACGTAACCTGGGGACTGCCTGTAAATCAATCCCCTTAAAGAGGGGATTTAAAAATGTGACAAAAAAGAATTATTGAAAAAAAAAAATCAAGCAGAAGATACAGATTCCTGAATAAGGTTAATCACACTTCCTATTTGGAAACAGTTCATTAATAAAGTTTTACTTTAAAAAGCTTATTGTATATTGATGGACATTGTAAGAAGTACAATAATAGAGCAGCTCCTGGGAGGCTACTTTAGTGGATTCAATCCTTCCGAAATTTACATAGTGGTAGATCTTCCTATTCCACCTCTACCAACTCCTCCTGCTGCTGACCTCGCTCCTGTAAGCATTATCACACAAAGAACCTTACACAAAACAAGGCTCATCACTGTGGAAATAAGTGCTCCCTCATGTCTAGTTCTCACCACCCACAATTCTGTAATATGTATATTCTTTGCAGCCACCCAGGGAACAGGGAGTTGAAGGAGGAATAAGTAGGCTGCATAGGAGCCTGGGAATCTGTTGGGCACCTGGGATCTCAGGAAGGAGCTTTGCCAATGGATAAAAAGACCAGGCTCTTCGATCCTCACACTCCATCTTGTAGGCCAGTGAAAGTGCCCCTTTGTTGCTCAGATCAGTGCTGAGGACACTCACCACCAATCTGAGCAAGGGAGTGGACACACTCCACCACAGTAATCACTGCATTGTTGTAAATTGACCTAATATAGTTCAGCTTAACTTTATATAAACACATTTTCTTAGACTTTATTTCTCAAGGTCTAAATCGGGGTGGGGAACCTCAGGCCAAGGGGCCAAATGTGGCCCCCGGCTTGCCTGGATCTAGCCCCCTAGGCTTAGGGGCCCCCAGCATTGGGGAGCCCATACTGGGCCCCCCTAAGGTGGTGTGCAAGGGAAATGTGGGCAGTGTCTCTCTCAGTCAGGGGCCACGTCAGTGAATGGTTTTTGGGGGTTTTGCTTTTTTTAAACATCTTACTTCTGTAAGGCCCAGACTGACTTTTTTGTGGGTCAGTGGTCCCTGGTTTCAATAATTCCCATTAGTAAGAACACACATCACAGATAATCGACTACTGTGCTTATGTTGCTGCCTAGTAATACCTCAGTTGCTGCTGGCTTGTTGAAAGACGACAAACCGATTCCTAGTTGTTGAAAGTTGACAAAAATCATTATGCTAATGTGATGGGATGGCCAGTCCAATTGACAGGGCCACAATGTCTGCTATTTCCATATACAATGGCACTGCACCAGCACAGAATACATCATTGCAGACAAAAACGCAAAGATTTCATAACTGTGCTTTTACAATGACAATGGCCACACTAATACCTTGTGTTTTGATGTCAGAGTGGATGCTTTGTAGATGATAAATATTGCAAGCACCACTTGAAACATCTTCTTTATTTAGTGCCAAAATCATTGTGTACTACTGTTTATTAGGGATGTAATAGTGTACTCAACAAAATGATGAACCAATACATGGGTGCTTATTGGTTAACGTTATTGACTACATGCAACACTCCCCCTATTCTCTCCCCCACAAGAACATTTTTGAGCCAGTGCTTGGGCAGGCTGGCTCTGTCCTGGCTCGTGCTGGGACCCAGCATCAATCCCCTCGTTGGCTTAGTACTTGTAGTGCAGAGCCGCAGTGGGGGTTGATGCCAGGTCCCAGCACGAGCCAGGACTGAGCCAGCCTGCGCATGCACCGGCTCTTAGTGCTTATACTGCAGAGCTGCAGCACGGGTTGATGCCAGTCCCGGCAATAAAAGCAGACGCACAGGCAGCCTGGCTCATGGCGGGACCTGGCATCAACCCCTGCTGCAGCTCTGAACTACATAAGCTTATAGTGCAGAGATGCAGTGGGGATAGTTGCCAGACCCAGCAGGAGCAGGGCTTGAGTGGTAGCTCTACCCCTTTATTGACTAATTGTGTAGCTGACAATTAAGAAATTACTTGTTTCTTAACATCCCTACTGTTAATAGCACACACTTTGAATTAGTTGCCTACATGCTGTGACCAAAGTAAGATGTGATGACTACTCCAGGAAGTTAGCCTAAAGATTCATTTTCAAAGAAGCTTTTCTCTTGCATTCAAAAAGTATCTATAGTACATAAAATACAGGACACAATACACATGGGCTACTGTGAGGGCAAGTGATTAAAACAGTTATTTGGGACCTTCAAATGAAAGATTTTACAGAACAAAACTATTATGATAATACTCTCCCTAATAACATTCTGTATCTGGATATACAATTCAGACGTTATCAAGTTGGGGAGATTTTGCACTTTACAAACGTAGCAAGACATTGGCAGAACTGAAAATAAAACCCAGGTCTCCTTCCTGCTGTACTATTTTTGAACTCCTCCTTGTTTAAAACATTTTGGATTTTTTTAAGTGAATATAGTGCTCATTGTACAGGACCGATTGACAACACTGTTACAGTACAATGCAACTCAAGATTCTCACTCTGCTTCAGCAAAAGTATCTAAACATGTCCACTAGGGATGTAGAATCTCATTTAATTAGTTAACCAGTTGAACATTAATTTTAACTGGTTGACTGATTAAATGGGAGTGGGCAGGCTGGAGCGGCTCCCAATCCTGTGCTAGACTGCTAGCTCCTAGCCTACATAGGGCCGGAAACAGCAGTGGGAGTGGATAGAGGGCTATCAGCTCTTAGTCTGTGTGAGCTCATGGGCTGGAAGTGGTAGCCCCCTCCCTCACTCTCCCAGATGCCACTTTTGGCTCTATGTGAGACTGCAGACTCCCAGCCTGTGAGCCCACATGGGCTGGGAGCCAGCAGCCTGAGGAGCTGGAGCAGCCCTCTGCCTGCAGCAGGCCGCAGGTGGGAAGCTGCTCCCAGGTAACCCGCATTACCCATTCACATCCATAATCTTTACAATCTTTGATTGCTCTTCTGATACTACCAACATGAGAAAAATAGGCTCATTGCAAATGGTGGTTCAAGTGACAGTGCATCTTTCTTTTAAGATTTTTAATGTATTTCACATTCATTACCATTTAACAGTGAGGTGGTTAGTTTCAGCCATTACTGACCTGGTCAGGATTTTTACCCATGATCTAAACAGATTAAAAGCATCACTTTCCAGTGGTAATAAATTCTTGAGCCATCCAACCTCATACATTTCTTATATTTTAGTTCTTAGTATAAAGCATCTGACCAAATGTCTTTGCAAAGTGTGACAATATCACTGCCAGACCCACTTACCAGTAAGATCATGTATCCGGTTGTATGACAAATTCAATTTAGTTAAATTATGTAGCTTTCCTAGTCCTAAACAAAACGGGGAGGGGGAAGTTAGTGTAAGAGCTTTAAAAAAATACTCAAAGATAAGCATGTTTGGTAAAATAAGAAAAACTATCAGACTAGACACTATCAATGACAAATTACTATTTGTTTAAATTTAATCCAATACATAATATGGGATTGACTTCAAGAGGTTTAAACACATAATAAAGATTATTCTTGAATCAAAGCTCAACATAACTTTCAAGAGGCTCATAAACTGTCAAAGGGAAAGAAAACAAAAATATGCTAACCCTCTACTTTTGTTATCAAATTACAGGATAAATTTAAAGTGCGAAGATTAGTCAGGGTACTTAGTCCTTCAATTTGATGTATTTGATTAGATGACAGGTCTAAATGCTGCAAACTCCGGATATGACCAAGCCCTTCAATCTTGGAGATCTGGTTACAATGTAGGTTGACTGTGTGAAGTTCTGAACTGAGAGTTATCTCCAACAAGCTATAAATGAAAATACCCAGTATTAATTAAGATGAAAGATCATTTACTTATTAAACTTGTCTAAATCTCAAATTAACCAATATTTTAAGGGGAGCAAATCACAATTTGTATTCATCACTAGTTAAAAAATGTTTTTATTCAAGTAGAATAGTTTACTATAGCAAATCAAAATAATGTGCCTTACATTTAAGGTTCTCAATATTTAAATTTGAAAAAAAAAATCACTATACTTATCAGTATCTTTAGTCCTCCTTCTCTAAAAAGTTAGTAGGCCTTTTTTGTATTTATGACTAGAAGTGTCACTTTTCTCACAGTACAGAGTATAACACCAGGGAGGCACGAGTACATACCAAAAAACACTTCAGAACAATAACTAACTGAAAGGCATCTTTTGGAAATGATATTTAACAGAGGACACTTAGAATAATGTCTGCCAGATGTTAAATCCCCTTCCTCCCCACTGCATCTTCAAAGAAGACATGATCACAGTCTCAAGTATAGGCTAGTTGACATGCCACACTTACAACACTACAGCTGCACTACTTTAATATGGACACTAGCTTTGTCAAGAGAAGGGATTTTCCCATTAGGGTAGGTAAACCACGCCCTGAGTGCAGAAGCTAGATTGATAGAAGAACTCTCCTAAAATTCTGTTTAGGCAGAGATCGACCAATTAACTTAACTACTCTGCTATGGGATGTGAATTTTTCACAACCAACTCCTGTAGTCAAATCAAACTAATACACTGTATTTTATAAATACCACGATTAAAACAAAGATTCTCTTCTAGCCACCTACATTTACTACAATGCTGTCATTTGAAATGTGGGGGACAATTGGGGGAAATCAGAGTTTAATAGAGTAATTAAAGGGTTTTTGTCCCCAGAGCAAATTTCTGTCTCTATTTAAAAGCTTCTGTTTGGCTTCAGCCAGGTTATTGCCCAGGATCAGATAAGTATAAATATTTAGTGCTTTTAAAATTGAAGATTTCTAAAAAACAAAATAAATAAAAAAAGAACATTAAGTTAGAAAAGCAAAGAACTAGGCTGTGTCTACATTGGCATGATTTTGCGCAAAAACATGCTGCCTGTCTACACTAGAGGGGAGTTCTTGCACAAGAACACAGACGTTCTAATGTATGAAATCAGTGCTTCTTGTGCAAGAACTATGATGCTCCCGCTCAGGGATAAGACCCCTTGCACAACTGTTCTTGCACAAGAGGCCAGTGTAGACAGGCAACGTTAATTTCTTGCACAAGAAAGCCCGATGGCTAAAATGGCCATCGGAGCTTTCTTGCGCAAAAGAGCATTACTGGCACGGATGCTTTTGCACAAAAGCACATCTCTTGCAGAAAGGCACATCCCAGTGTAGACACTCTCTTGCGCAAATACTTTAACGCAAAAACTCTTGCATTAAAAGTATTTGTGCAAAATCTTGCCAATGTAGACGTAGCCCTATTGTTTAGGCCCTTTAATATGGGCTTGATACCCACGTCTGAAGGCAAAATTTATTGAAGGTTTACTGATCTGCTTACTTTTAAAAGCTGGTTTAGATAATACGCCACTATAAAAGATATGGAGGAGCTCAAGTAACCCTGACAACAGTATCTACGCTTGGTCACATACGGTCTGGAGCTAAAGCGTTAAACAGAAAGTACCGCCTCTCTCCTACACCCCTTAGTTTCTGGCGGTCCCACATTCAGCACTAGGGAAAACTCTTTAACATACATCGCTATGGACGACAGCCCCCTGTAGCCACAGAACATGGCAGGGGGCGTGAAGCGGCTGCGAGGAGAACCCACAAGGCAGAGTCACACAGCTCGGCCCCGCGCGCGACTCTGCTCTGAAGGCGGCGAGCTCGGCTCTGCGTGAGCACCGGCTACAG